TCAGAAATTCTCTTTCAAAAAGAAAATGAAACATTATTCATCTGTTATTTTTTTTAACTTGTCAGAGTATGTTTTCTGCTAAAATATACGTAAAAACCTGTGTGTGTATGTATGTGTGTGTTAAAATGTAGCCAGATTTGTTTTCATCAGGTATGGTGAGACACATGGATGTGGAAGTGATTATCAGTTTACACTCACAGATCCCTAGAAACAGGGGGCACACACCACACAGGGGCCACTCAGGGAGGCACTGGGGTTGGTCAGGAGACAGAAGAGGGGGCTGGACATGCACCAGAGACCTGATTGGGGTTTTGGAATGGATGAGGCAGGGTAGGTAAGCTGAGTAAAATTAGCACTGGATAGCTTGAATAATTTTGTCAGGCTCTTGGGCATGTGCGGTCCCTGGTTGTCTGAGACCTGGCCCTGGGGTGATCCAGGTCAGGAGGAATGTGGAAAGGTGTGTGAGAGCTTGTAAGAGAGACAGAAAATAGAGATGTGCTCTGGATTGGTGGCTTGTATATCAGAGGTACACCTGCAGGAAGGTGTCTGATACCTGCGGGAATTTGCAGCCCAGGAAGGGCAGTCTGTGCAAGATCAAGGCCCCCCAAATCAGAACATTGAGAATACAGAAATAGGAAAATATAGTTGCTACAGTTGTCCCTGCAGTGCTCTGGCTTCAAATTAAGGGAACTTTGCGTGAGTGACTTTCAGAGAATATGGCAGAAGTCACTCTAAATGGAATAAAACATTTTACTATGAGAGTAGGAAGAACAAACACAAGTAAAAATATAAAGATTCCTTGTAAACTGGCTCATCACCAAGTCCCCATTTGTATGGCATTAGCCAGGAAAATAGATTTGAAGTTTTGGGGCTCTCTAACAGTACCTGGGCGGAGTTGTGAAGAGTATTAGAATATGCTCAGGTCAAGGAGACGGGTCCAGAAGTTATGCCCTTTGAGAGTATGAACTGTAAGTAAGTTTATGCAAAGGTAGCAGTATTTGTGTACGGCCAAGGCTGTAGTAGGAGCGGGTGGTCCTGCTCCATAGGGGTCAAGGTGTAGACTGAAAGGAGACCGGTGCTTCCTGGAGACAACATTTATGTCCATTATTTTCTTTCTTCTTTAAACTTCTGCTCCCTGCAATCATTCATTCATTCATTTATTTATTTATATTTTTGGCTGCGCTGGGTCTTCGTTGCTGCGCGCGGGCTTTCTCTAGTTGTGGTGAGCGGGGGCTACTCTTTGCTGTGGTGCGCAGGCTTCTCATTGCAGTGGCTTCTCTTGTTGCAGAGCATGGGCTCTAGGTGTGCGGGTTTCGGTAGTTGTGGCCCGTGGGCTCTAGAGCGCAGCCTCGTCCATTATTTTCTTTAAATAAAGACTTAATTTTTTTGAGAGCAGTTTTAGGTTTACAGCATAATGGGGGGCAGTACAGAGCTATCCCATATACGTACTGACCCCCCACATGCACAACCTCCACCATCATCACTACCCTCAGATGGCACATTTGTTATAGCTGATAAACTGTCACGACACGTGGCAATTACCCGAAGTCCATAGCTTACCTTAGGGTTCACTCTTGTACGTTTCACGTGACTTTAGAAATGTATGACGTGTGTCCAGTATTAAGGAATGATAAGGAGTATTTCCCTGCCCTAAAAGTCCTCTGACTTCACCTGTTCATCCATCTTCCTCTTCCCGAACTCTACACAATCACTGATCTTTTTACTGTCTCCATAGTTTTGTGTTTTCCAGAATATCACAAAGTTAAAAGCTTACAATATGAAGCCTTTTCGGATTGGCTTCTTTTACTTAGTAATATGCATGCCTCTTCCGTGTCTTTTCATTCTTTTATTGCCAAATCATATTCTATTGTTTGGATGCACCACAGCTTATTTATCTCTTCACTTACTGTAGGACATCTTGGTTGCTTCCAAGTTTTGTCAACCATGAATAAAGCTGATATAAACATTTGTGTGCAGGTTGTCACGTGGACCTATGTTTTCTATGTCTTTGGGTAAATACCAAGGTGTACGATTGCTGGGTCATATGGCAAGAGCATGTTTCCTTTCATAGAAACTGCTAAAATGTCTCCCAAAGTGGATGCACCGTCTTGCGTTACAACAAGCGGTGAATGAGTTCCTTTCCTTCTACAGCCTTGCCGGCATGTGGCAGGTAATTGCGATGTGTCATGACAGTTTATCAGCCTTGCCGGCATGTAGTGTGGTCCATGTTCCAGATTTTGGCTGTTTGAATAATTGTGTATAGTCATCACATCATGGTTTTACTTTGCATTTCCCTGATCACATGTGAAGCAGAGCTTCTTCTCATATGCTCATTTGCTATCTGTTTATCTCCGTTGGTGAAGTTTCTATTCAGGTCTTTGACCCATTTTTTTTTAAATAATTTAAAAAAAATTTTTGGCTGTGTTGGGTCTTTGTTGCTGTGTGCGAGCTTTCTCTGGTTGCGGTGAGTGGGGCTACTCTTCGATGCGGTGCGCAGGCTTCTCATTGCAGTGGCTTCTCTTGTTGCAGAGCACAGGTTCTAGGTGTATGGGCTTCAGTAGTTGTGGCACATGGGCTCAGTAGTTGTGGCACGAGAGCTCTAGGGCGCAGGCTTAGTAGTTGTGGCGCACGGGCTTAGTTGCTCCGTGGCACCAGGGCTCGAACCCGTGTCCCCTGCATTGGCAGGCGGGTTCTTAACCACTGCGCCACCAGGGAAGTCCCTTTGGTCCACTTTTTAATCAGGTTTTCTGTTTTCATATTGTTGAGTTTCAAGTGTTCTTTGTATAATTGGGTAACAGTACTTTACCAGATGAATCTGTTACAAATAATTTATCCTAGGCTGTGGCTTGTATTCTCATTGTCTTGACATTGTCTTCCACAGAGCAGAAGTTTTAAAATTTATTAGAATCTAGCTTATCAAAGATTTATTTTATGGATCCTAAAAAGTCATCATTCATTCTACCCCAAATCATCTAGGTTTTCTCCTGTGTTATCTCATGGAGGTTTTAGAGTTTTGAATTTTACATTCAGTTCTGTGAACCATTTTCAGTAAAGTTCTGTGAAGACTATAAGGTCTTTGCCAAGATTCACTTTTTTGCATGTGGATATCCAGTTGTTCCATTTGCTAAAAAGCCCCATTAATTTTCAGAATGGCACAGATAGGAGTAATGTCTTCCAGACTTTGCTTTAATCTTGGGAAAACGGGGGTGTACGTTTTGGCAGAGAGCAAGGATTATACCAGGGTTGTGGTCTAAGCAGAGGGTGAGCCCAGACACATAATAGAAATCCCAATATCAAAAGAAGAAAAGCAGTAAAGGTTCTGTGTTCATCATTTGTGTTTTAAGAGGGAACGTCCACAGGCTTTACTGGGGCTCAGGATTTAGCATCCAGGATGAAGTCATCACCAGTGGGAAGGTCTTGAGTTGGACGGGTATCATCTGGGATGTGGACTGGAGAACCTCCAAGTGAGTTCCTGTTGCAGTGGATGTGGGTCTCAGCATTTGCCATGGTTGTTTGAAGCAGTGTCTCTGTGGCAGAGTGGGCTTCCAATTGTAATTTACTGAAAACAACTAGACCGTTACTAATTAGATCAGCAATCATCAGGATGATGTGAGCTGTGCTTGACCCGTCTCTGTTATTGTTGTTGTTTGTGGGCATATAGGGTCCTGTATCAAATGAGCCACCTGCCCTGTAGGACAGGTTATGGTTAGTGCTTCCAGGAGAGTATGTGCCCTAGATCTGGTGTCCAACCCTTTTGGTATGGGGGAAAGATACTAAAATATATTAAAAAATAAATCAAGCCATGGGGAAAGGGAGAGAAACATTCAGGGGATTATGCGCCAGACTGGAATTTGGAAAGGAATTATTTGAGAAGAGCATTATGTTTCTAATATCAAACATCTGTCTAGGTCCTATCAGGGACATGATGGTTCTGTTGAATGATATTCCAAGACCCTACATTGTGTGTATTGAAAATAAAATGTGTAGTTTAGTTACTATTAGTAAAGTCTATAACTCCAAAGGAAATAAATACTGCCCTAGTAAGGCATTGTAGGTCTTAGCATACATGGAAATATGTGTCATTTTGATCTATGTTTTAGGTATCTTTGAGGCAAGAGATTCCCAGATACTTTTACACCAAAGGGGACAATTTTTGGACAATGGCCCAGTAGTTTATTATAAATGAGAAGATGGGGTTATTTGTTGTCCAGGGTATCTACTGCCAAGACCACTGCACCTGCCCTGTCCCTCAGACTAGACCTCGTGCTCCTGAATCCAGAGAACTCCTTGGTGTCCTGATTACACCCTGCAGCCCAGCCCCTCCTGTCTCCCTGCAGGGAGGTTTGTGTCTGGGCTCACACTGATCTCCCTTTATTGTGTCTCTTGCACAGTAATGCATGGTTCCTGTCCACGGCTCTCAGGCTGTCCGTTTGCAGATATAGCATGTTCCTGGCATTGTCTCTGGAGATCACAAATCAGTCCTTCACAGAGTCTGCATAGTTAGCACTACCAGTACCAATATTAATGGATGAGACCCACTCCAGCCCCTTCCCTGGAGCCTGGCACACCCAGCTCATCCAGTAGCTACTGAAAGTGACTCCAGAGGCTGCACAGGAGAGTCTCAGAGACCCCCCAGGCTACACCAAGCCTCCCTCAGACTCCACCAGCTGGACCTCTGCAAACACAGAGACATCCTGGTCAGGAGACTGTCACACATCCACTGATTCCCTCACTCATATCCCCTCACATCCTCAGGATCTCTTGTTCTCCATCAATTACCTTGTAAAATAGCAACAAAGACAAAGCAGCTCAGCCCAGACTCCACGGTGAGGTGTCTGTATTCAGTCCTTGCACAGCTGATGCCGAGGCAGGGCCATAACAGTGAGGTGTGGGGGTCCTCCGAAGGACGACTTGGGCTCGAAGATGCCCCAGCTGGTCCCTCCTTGGACTGAAGGACACTTGGTGTCCCATCCAATCTTACTTCTCTCTCTGTCACTCAGGGTCAGAGCTGCATCAGGGCTGACATCGCTCTCAGCGCCACAACCGTACTTTCCTAAAAACAAATTCCACGCAGATGGGATCCATTTCCGATGACTGCTTTCAGGTGACCTGAAATAACTGAAAGAATACCTTAGCATAGTTATTGATAATATGAGCCTGCTTCTTTAGGCAAATATAAAATATAAAATAACAAAGGCAATGGTCAGTTTTATGTGTCAGCTAGCCTGGGCTCCCTCTCCAGTTATTCAGTCAATCCCTAATCCAGGTGTTACCCCGAAGGTATTTAGTAGATGTTGTTAAATTCTATCATCATTTTACTCTAACCTAGAAATATTATCCTAAATAACCTGGTTGGGCTTGGTTCAATCACAACAGACCTGAAGAAGATGCAGTTCCACAGTGGACAGCAGCTTCATCTACTACTCGAGATTTCCAGCCTGGCCTTCCTGACGTCTGGCCCCAAGAAGGTTGTATATCTCCAACCGGCCGCACAGCCTCCATCCTCCAGACTTCCCAGCACAGCGGAGTGTCCATCAGGCTCTGCTGGAAGCCACAGGTCAGAGGGGTGACCCCACAAGAGTTTGATCAGGACAAGTTCAAACTCCACATCCCGTTGTGTCTAAACAAGCATCACTGCCTTGAGTACTCGTGTCCACTTAGCTTCCCCAGCGGGTGCGCGTGCAAAGGGCAGCAGCACGTCCTGGTCCACAGCAAGTCTAAAGTCCCATCACACCTTCCCAGGTGCCTGCAGGAGCCACAGCCTGGGCCACACCTAAGCTCCAGGTAAAGGGTCTGCCCCTGGGGTTTAGATCACAGAAAGGTCATGACCCCTTTTCAGAGAGTGGAAGGAGAAAGGGTTTGGGGACAAAAAGATGAAGGAGAAAGAAAACTGATTCACAGAAGAAGAGACAGCCTGATCAGTGTTCACTGTTCAGCGTTGAGTCTGGCGAGAGGAAGGTTAGATTGAAAATCCATCAGCTTCCCTCAGGGACTCGCCCAGCCTTAGGCTCCGTCTGGCTGGGACCAGGACAGCAAAGACTGTCCTTGTCTAGGATTTCTATTGAGGTCTGTTCTCCCAGTCTGATAGGAAAGCAGCAACCAGCTTCCTCAGGCCTCCTCACATCCCTGCTTCTGGTGGCCATGAGCAATCATTACTGGCTCCGTAGGTGGGACTCTGCATTGGCGCACGTGAGACTGTGTGCTCGTGTTAGAGCAGAAGCTTCTAATCAGAGATCTATGGTCGGCAAACAATTACAAACATAGAGAGGGTCTACGAGAGATGGTGAGACGCAGAGGGAACCACAGGCTCTGGCAGGAAACCTCCGCCTTCATCCGCACCTGCTCGTGTGGCTGGTCTCTGTGCTCAGTGGGTCCTGAGCACCTCTGGGGGCCTCAGCCCTGCCTCATGGTCCTCAGTGAAACCTGCAGCCCAGACCCTCCTGTCTCCCTGCAGGGAAGTTTCTGTCTGGGCTCACCCTGACCTCCCCTCCCTGTGTCCCTCGAACAGTCTGCAGCCATGCCCTCGGTGGTTACAGAGCTCAGCTGCAGGGAGAGCTGGTTCCTGGGTGTGTCTCTGGAGATGGGGAGTTAACTCCTAGGGGCTGGGGCTGGGGCTGTGTTATCTTTCTAGCATATTCCTGATGACCAGTGCAGCCCCTACCCCAAGGGCTGATGGATCCCAGCTCCAGCAATAACCACTGGTTGGGATGAGGAATCCAGAGACAGCACAGGTGAGGGAGAGGGTGTGCAAGGTGCAGTCCTGGGCCCAACTCCTGTACCTGCACCTGGGACAGGACACCTGGCAACAAGGAGAATCAGTTGCTGTCAGTCACCTGTGGCCACAGCCATCCCCACAGCCCCGTGTCTGACACCTGCGACCCTTGTCAGGTGACACCTGACACCTGGGGAGGTGTCACCAGGCAGAGGAGAAGAACCCACAGCCTCCTCTTCTTCCGGACCACAGCTCTGCCTTCCCCAGGGACCTCAGCCCTGTCTGCGGAGGGAGCTGTGAGCTCCTGCAGCCCAGGGGTGGACTTTACCCTAGAGCTTGAAGAGGAATTTTCATATTGGAAGCCTTGTCCTTAGAA